TCCCGTGCACGCCCCCCGTCTCGGCTGTACCGTGTGTTACTCCCGTGCACGCCCCCCGTCTCAGCTGTACCGTGTGTTACTCCCGTGCACGCCCCGTCTCGGCTGTACCGTGTGTTACTCCCATGCACACTCTGTCTCGGCTGTACTCTGTGTTACTCCCGTGCACGCTCCCTGTCCAGGCTGTACTCTGTGTTACTCCCGTGCACGCTCCCTGTCTCAGCTGTACTGTGTGTGACTCCCATGCACACTCCATATCGGCTGTACTGTGTGTGACTCCTGTGCACGCTCCCTGTCCAGGCTGTACTGTGTGTTACTCCCGTGCATGCTCTGTGTCTCGGCTGTACCTGTGTGTTACTCTTGTGCACACTCCCTGTCTCGGCTGTGCTGTGTAGCACCCAGCCCTGTGCTCACTCTGACTAGAGGGTAGAAACACTAAGCATAAAGGGGGTCTGAGATCCATCAGGACACGATGGGGTACGTTTCCCTCGCTGTTTAGTGATCATGGGGCAGTCCTACACATTCTCCTGGGAACACGACTCCCCAGAGCTCGCTCATGTCTGTCCCAGGTTAAGACAGTACAAGGCTCAGAGAAGCCATATCGACCCTGGGCTTTGTGGTCCCAAGAAACGCGAAGTCAGTGGTGCCCCTGGAACGGTCCCACGTCAATCCAACCTGAGGACCCAACTCAGCAAACAGCCCGCTCAGCACATGACCTGGCCGTGCTCCACAAATAGCAGCCAGGGCTGGGTCCTCGGGGACGTCCAGGCTTCCCGGTGATGCCAGCCCTGGATTTGGGGAGCTGGTCTGACCTGGATTTCTCCTCTGGGGGCGGGGGCGCCACTGCTCCTCAGTAAGGGCTCATGGTCAGAACAAGGAGGTGGGCCGGGGGCCCCAGTGCACACATGCGGGTGACCAGGGGCCCTGGCACAGCTGGGATGACTCACGCTGTTCCCCAACTTGGTGCCCCCCAGGTCAGACATGGGGCAACCCGGAGCACCCACCTCTCTGATGTCTTCATTGCCCTCCTTGATGTTCTCGGTCGCCCCGACCACCAGCTGGTGGATGTTGTCAATCTCGGCTTCCTGTGGGAGAAGAGGGTGTCAGACGGACACAGCCACTCCTCCCCAAAGGTGAAACCCATACACCCATTCCAACCCATGGCACCCTGTAGGACAAAGTGGAATTGTCCCGTAGGGCTTCCTAGGCTTTAATCTTTATGGGAACAGACTGCCAGATCTTTCTCCCGCTCCGTGGGTTCAAACAGCCGACCTTTCAGTTAGCAGCGAGCACTTAACCACTGCGCCACCAGGGCTCCTTCCCCAAGTGTATTGAAGAGTCACTGCCATTTAGTAGAGGGCAGGTGGTTTACACCCATTAACCGATGAATCCTCAGAGCACCCCGAGAGACAGGGATCACCCTATTTTACAAAAGGGGAACTAAAGGCTCAGAGACATTTGACAACTTGCCCAAGGTCACACAGCAACCACACGGCAGCACTGAGATCAGGACGCTGAGAAGCTCCCCCTGCTGGACCCTCCTGCCTATTTCCTTCCCGCCCCCTGTGGCCTCTCCGTGCCCCTCGCGACTGAAGGGAGGCCAAGACCAGAGCTGCCGTTTAGAGGGGCTGCCACCTGCCAGCGGCTTTCCCTCTAGTCTCTCAAAGTCCAGAGAAATAAGCTCCAAAATATTTATGCTTTAAAACATACATACTAGCTCCAGAAAAAAGTGCTGTGTTTTACCATTGTGTTTGCCAGTATATCTCTAAAAAGGAGCTAAAATTTGAAAATCAAAATGGGATGCAGGATGCTTGCAAAAAACGTTCAAACACCTGGCGAGCGTGAGAAGTATGGGTCCTAGCCTCCTACGCTGTCCCATCGGGCTGACGAGCCCCCGCACTCCCGCAGGAGAGCTCAAGGATGCGAGAGCTGGTTTGCCAGCAATAGGTCTGGCTTCCTCTCCCTTTAGGGGTGGTGGAGCTAACACGGACTTAGGGGTGAGGGGAGGGAAATGCCTGCTAGCAGGTTCTGAAGGAGCCCGACAACAGACTGCGGAGAGGAAAGCACCTCTGGCTGTCTGGACCCCGGTGATGTCTACTGCCCAGGACACAGGTTGGGGTGCTCTGGAATGTCAAAGTGGAAGCTAATTGACCATTGCCGACGTTCCTAGGGAGACAATGATACAAAGACCCTGTAACAGACAGGAAAACCAAGGCCTGACTCGTCTCAGGTCCTAGGACCCCCCTGAGGAGTCGAGGCACAGCTCCGGCCTGTGCTCTGCACCCGCCTTGCCAGGCTGGGAGCCCTGGGCTGCTGGGAGCGGCTCTGTTCTACTGACGCGGGCGCACAGCTGTCCAGCGCTCTGCGGCAGCCCCACACACGTGGAGAATCGAAGTGCCCATGGCATTGGGGCCCTCAGCAGCCGGGCTTAGTGTAGGAGCATTAGAAGTGGTGCAGCTCTGACCTTCCACGTGTGCTGGTCCACCAAGCCCTTGCTGCACTCCCTGGCACAGAAGATACGCGGTGGCTGTGTTCCACCTGCCAGTAGAAAAGGCAGTGGCTGCTGGCTGCTCTGATAAAACAGCATGGATTTGCTGTGTCCACACCTAAGATAATCACAGTCTCCACAACTGAGAGCCTGCCCTGGGCACTTCCTGTTCACTAGCTGGGAGGGTGAGGCAGGTGACCTCAGCCCCATTCTGCAGATGAGGAATGGGGCTCAGGGGAACCAGTTCCCACTCACCCAGTGAGCGGTGGGCCTGTCTGACTCAGTTTACACTCTTGTGACATGCCGCTGAACTGACGATCATCACATTGAAAATTCTACACAAAGGCAATAATTAAGCTTCTAAGGCTTAGCATACACATGCTTAAATAGTTCCTTTAACTCCTGTGAACCCGACCTTCCAGTGTGTCCTTAGACTTAATGTCCATAACATGGACTTGACTCTGGCTGGGTGGTTTAGGAAAAGCGGTTTTGTGAGGGAAGCATCTGAAGCCAAGGAGTCCGTCTTAATACACAGGAGAAAGGTCTTTCCACCCCTTCCACAGTCTTTGGATGCTAAGAACGAAAGGGCACATTTATTAGCTCTCTAACATTTTGCTGCTTCCTGACTGAAAGGGCTTTGGAGGTAGTAAAGTGGAAGTCACAGGAAGACTTCTCATTGAAGGGGAGCACTGGGCTTCCTGTGAACACGCTTCCGTTCTGAGGCCCCCTGTAACCCACACACCACGGATGGAGGCTCTGCCCCCTAGGCGCTGGGCTGGGCACTTTCCAGAGGTTCTCTCTGAACCTCACTCCAGTCCTGCAAGGGTGGCCTCCATCTTACAGACAGGAAGTGTGACTCAAAGAGGTTATCCAGCTCACGGAGGGCAGCCATGATCTGCCTGCTCCCGCGCCTGGACTCCCTCCCCCACCAGGCTGCCCTGCACCCCTGCGTCTCCATGGCCCTGGGCGGCCGGCCACTAGGAATGGCCGGCAGGTTCCACGCGGAGCCCCGCCTCCCCACAGGTCACTGCTCTCTAGGGCTGTGAGAGTTTCCACCATGAACGCTGGTCACCACACATGGCTCTGGGACACAGCCAAGGAGACACAAGGTCTCAGAAGTGTTCTGAATTCTTGGCACATTTTTCTCTTAAGCTAAACTTAAAACTACTGTTTTTTTTTTTTACCTGTTGCAAAACCTTTTCTGTGAATATCTCTTGGAGTCTGGAAATTTCAACCACTTTTCCTTCAATTTGCCTTCATAAAAGAAAAAAATTAATAGATGTTATGTTAATGATTAGTACTGGTCATTTTAACAGGAACGTTTACACATTTCTAAAGAATCTTTTTTGTGAAGGTGTCGGGGGGGTATGCAGTGTCAGATGGGAGGGGATGGGCAGAGAAGGGTCAATTCTATGTACTTGTTCACTTTCATTTCTTTCAGCCTAATGCAGCATACTTTATGTTTTGAAAATACGCTTCACTGTGAGCAGACCCTCGATACCCAGAGGCGTGGTGTGTGTGGCCCCCATATTGTGAACTATGTGGGCCCCGGGGTATGGCACCCAGCTATTCCCGGTTACTAAACGTCAAGTCTCCACTGGGTCCTGTGTTCAGTGTTACACAGAGAGGTCAGAGTATGTTCACGAGCCACTTCATTACAGGTGAAGGAAACAGCATACTTCTTACTCTCAGACCAACTCCCGGCTAACTAAGTTTCAGAACATCCGATCTGGATCCGACATTTCAGTGTCTGTCCTGAAACGCCACAGTAAGCCATTTTCCCTGTGTTGGGGAGAGTGGATGAGCCTGGGGCGGCCGGGGGTGGTACATGTTCAGTAACGGAAGCCAGGGCTGCCTGATGGAGCTGGGGCTAAGGGGAACGACAGGGCAGGGGTCCGAGGCCCCAGGCCCAGGAGGAAGCAGAGACGCTCTGGGGGCGAGAGGAATCAGCTGTGTCACCGAGGGCTGGGCCTCCTCTCCAGACCAGGTCAGGGAAGGCGAGGAGACCTGGAAGGAAGGCTGAGCTTCCAGGCTGGGGAAGGGATGCCAAGGAAGGGCCCTGTCAGGGGCACGTGGCTGTCCTGGGAGCCCCAAGGGCCCTGTGGACAACATCAGGACTCGCTTTCTTCTGGGAAGCGCCCACAGTGCAACAAGGGCTTCAGAGCTCTGTGAAGAGCTTCCTTTCTAAATGCTCCAAACGGCCCACCAACTAAGGCCTCCAGGTGCGTTCACTGACAGGCCAGCGATCACACACCTGCATAATCAGGGCCCCGAGCTGACTCGGAGAGGCCCCCGTTGGGGGAAGGAGGAGACAGGGCCCACTGAGCCATGTGCAGGAGGGGCGTCCCTCTGACAGCCGTCCTCATTTCCCGATGTCATTTTAGAGTAATTAAATGTAAACAACCCAGTGTTAATTATATTCAGCTTCATCTGCAAACACCTAGGAGGCTCAGGTGAGTGAGTAAGGTAGCAGCAGGCAGGTGGTTACGCCCCCTGGCCACAGGTGGCCCCAGCTAGTGCATGCGGCCACTCCCCGCCCCCACCCCGCAGAAGGCCCAGACTGGCTGCATCTGGCCCAGGGCCCGCGTGCTGTGTGCTAATGGAAACGAAAGTTCCTTTTTCTGGACAAGTTGTAAACTAGGCCATCTGCTCACAGGGGAACGACATACCTCACTTCATCAAACAGGCTGTTCATTTGGCCAATAAGTCGCTGATTCTCTTGTTCAAACTGTGAGGAGACAATCAAACACATTAAGGATGGCATCACGCTGGACTCAGTCTCAAAAGCAACATGGCCGAAAGCAAGAGTCTAGCAAGGCGTCGGCACAGAAAACTCGGATTCACCCTTCAGGCATCACGGGCAGCCTCATCCCAGCCAGAACACCACCTGACCGCTGGGCAACAGTCACATCAGTGTGAAAAACATTCCCTACTTAGGAGGAAAGCAGAAACCCAAGCACAGCTGGGCGCCCGTGGCCTGACCGACTGTGCACGCAAAGCCTGCAAGTGGCTTTTATGACGGTACTTGTGAGGACACGGGAACTCAGGCGGGCCAGCCTTGGCACCCTCCCCAGGCCTTTCTGTCCTGCCTCTGGCATGGAGAAGGATCTGGTTTGGGGAGGCCCTGGAGAGGAAGAGGCCAGAACAGCAACAATGTCCTAGTGCGGTTGGCGACTGCTCAGAGCAGGGCAGACGTGGAGTTGCCACTGGGCCCCCAGGATGATGGAAAGCAGTGCCCTCAGCCACTTCACTCTCCTGAGGAGCCAGGTTCCCATGCTCGGGCAGCTGGGCCCAGGCTTCCGGGTTCAGGCTGGGAAAGAGTGGCCGTCCGACACCTGGGGGCTGTCAGAGCTGAGCTAACTTGAGAGACCCACCATTCTGGCAAAAACAAAGCACCATGGGGCAGGGCCAGCAAAATCTCATCTTCACCACCATCCACCCCCCACTCCACATGAGCAGACAGGTGCTGTCCCCAGGCCCTCCCGCCACATGCCTGTCCCAGCCCAGCTGCTCAGGCCCAGCTCAGATGCCACCTTCTCCAGGAGACTTTTCGTGACTTCGAGCTGGAAGTGATCTCAGTTTTCTAACGGTGGCCTAGCATTTTCTGGAAATACTAATCATTCTCTCCCCAGTAATAAATTGTGTGTGCCTCAGACTCCTTGTGTGACTATGCACTTCCTGAGGGCGGGAACCTTGTCAAAGCCAACTTTGACAAAGCATTGCATTCGGCTTCCTTTAACACATACTGAAGCTGCAGTCAAATCCACGAATACTTTCTGAGGCGCTCTGGGCTTGGCACTATGGGGAAACACATCAGAGGCCCTTGCCCTCCAGAGTCGCTAATCTGACTGGGGACCTGGTCTACCACTTGCTTAGTAAAGCGAGAATGGAGAGAAGAACAATGGTTATGGAGATCCTAATGGCCGCCAGGGCGGCGCTGGGCACTTCACATACAGGGATTCCTTCAGTCCTCCGCCGGCCCTGCCTGCTCCCATTTCCCCAGGGAGGAAGCAAGCTTGCTCCGCTCTGCCTCGGTGCCCACCTGAGCTGGTCGCTCTGTGCCTCCTGGTCTGCACCGCCTGGTACTCCCCACCTCAAGTCTTGCCCTGCTAACGCCCACTCTTGGTGGAGCCTTCCTCAGCAGGGCCTCCCTCCCAGCCTCTAGTCACCTGCAGCACCAGCTCCACTCAGCTCTTCACACTGGCCCCCTCCCTCCTAAGTCTGCCACTTTTACCTCCAACATGGCTGACATTCATTCCTTCTGTTGTCTAAATTCTGCCCCCACTGTCTCTCACTGTCCTCCAGTCTCTCCTCCGCTCAGCTGTCAAAGAATCTAAAGTGCCAATCCTGTGAGACTGCTTGGTGCTGCCCAGGCCCTTCAAGTCGGGCTGAGACACAGGGTTCTCCGTGACCTGGCCACTGCCCGCCTCTCCTGCAGTAGCCACACCAGGCTCCCGCCTCCCCTTTGCACAGTGGGGCTCAGAACCCAGCGAAGGTGCCTTCTCGGGGCTGCCCTCTCAGACACGGGGCAGATCTAACCACTTTCCAGTATTTGTTCCTCTCTTTACAAAGTCCCCTGTACCTAACTCCATCACTGCATTTCTCACACTCATCTTCCCTCCTGGGGGCAGTTCTTCTCCAGACCCCAAGCCCAAAGCACCGCCCGACACACTGCAGGGCACCGGTTCTTGGCTCCGACTACCATCCAAACACCAAGCTGCCCCGGTTCCAGCCCAGACCTATCAGGACAGCAAACGGGCGGGCTGGTGAGGCTTCTGGAAGGGCAGAAGTGCTGCGGAAGCTCCCGCTGGACCACCTGAGCCCCAGCAGGCTGCCTTGCTGACACAGTGCTGCTTAAGGCCCTTGTAGTTACACATCAAAAGGCTCTTTAAGAGAATACAAATTTCACTTTTCAGTTCAAAAGTGTCAGCTCTGCTGTCAACCCACCAGTTCGAGTCTGGTAGCTGAGGAAAACACGCAATTACTTCAGCAGCAGATGCTAATTCACTCTAATTCTCTCAGGCACTATTGGTTTTATGGGGGTGGGAGAGCATTTTCTTTGAATTTTTCTAATGACAGAATATGGACCTACCCTTTTAAATCCGCAGTCCTTTTATGCTTTGAAACTGTTCCTAAATGAAATTAACTAGTGATTTGAGATGATTCTGACTAGAATGTACCTGTGTTTCCTCCCCAAGCTGAGGGCCTGTGGTACACTGGCACACTGCTCTCAGGCCTGTCCGTAACTGCGACTTCTGAAGCGCCGTCAGCCGTACCAGGAGCCGGAGTAGGATCCAACTCTGGTTCCGGTTTCCTTGAACCCACGGGTCCTTGATACAACCTGAGAAGTAACCAGCCCAGTGGGAGAAACAACCGCCTCAGGATTCTGAAGAGAGTTTTGCCAAGGCCAGGAGCTCTAATGGACAGCAGCCTCCATCCAGAGCGCATCTCTCAGAGAGCCAGCCTACAGTGAGTGAACCCACGTTAAAACAAACCCCGTTTTCCACACACAGGTGTGAGGCTGCCACTTCTGAGAGCAGGTGGGGCTCAGGCAGACTAGGTTATGGCCAGGCTGTGCTAACATTACTTTGCACCAGGTTTCAGAATGATTTCCGATCTTGACTAAATGGCAAACCTGTACACCTCACCTCACGTCTGTTGAGTAAAGGGGGAACCAGCCAGATGCCAGGTGGCAGGCTGGATGGCAGATATGCCAGGGGCCTCGTGGGGACCCCTTGGGTGCTGCCTTCCCCGTGGCCTGTCAGCTTCTCTGTGAGCAGATGTGCTGATTCTTAGCCTTTCCTGCCTGATCCTGAGGGTTAGGGGTGACGGCTCGAATGCCAGCTCCTTCACCTTCCAAGTTGGCAGGCCTTGGGCAGGTTACTTAACCTCTCTGTGCCTCTGTCCTCATGAGTAAAATGGGGATAATAATGGTGCTGTTAGGTGCCCTTGAGTTAATTCCAACTGACACTACAGGACAGAGTAGAACCGGCCCGTGGAGTTTTCTAGGCTGAATGTTCCTTAGAAGCAAGGATGGCGAGACTTCGTCTCATGTACTTTGGACGTGTTATCATGCTTGGTTAAGTAGAGGGTCAGCAAAAAGAGGAAGATCCTCAACCAGATGGACTGACATAGTGGCTGCAACAACGGGCTCAAGCAAAGCAATGACTGTAAGGATGGTACAGTACCAGGCAGTGTTTCGTTTGTTGTACCTGGGGTTGCTATGAGTCGGGACCAACGTGACAGTACCTAACAACAACAATCTTTACAGGAGCAGATCACCAGGTCTTTCTCCCACAGAGTTGCTGGGTGAGCAGAACAGATGTGCCACCAGGGCTCCTTGGGGATAATAATACCTGTTGCCGTAGAGTTGATTCTGACTCACAGTGACTCTATAGGACAGAGCAGAACTACCCCCAGAGGGTTTCCAAGAAGCAGCTGGTGGATTCGAACTGCCCACCTTTTGGTTAACAGCCAAACTCTTAACCACTGTGCCATCAGGGCTCCTGGGGATAATAATAGCACTTCCTTAACTGGGTGTTAGGAGGAACACCTAAGTTAATACATCAAGTGCTTGCCAAAGTGCATGGCACCCAGTAAGCCCTGGGTAAATATCACTGATTATGGAGTCAGATTCTACATGTGCAGAACAAGTGGCTGGATGCTGTCTGAAGCCCTTCCACCTCTCAGGTGTCAGGGTCCAGAGGGCTGTGAGGACTGCTGTCCACGTGCTCTCTAGGGCATGGACTGATGCACACGTGGCATCATCGGCCTGGGCTCAGTGGCGGCTGCAGCAGCCAGTGTCCGTCTCCGGTGGCAGTGTCCCTGCCCACACGGACAGGGATCTCACAAGGTGCAGAGCTGAGCGGACGCCTGGTCACCCCGCTCAGCCCCACAGACAGGCATCCACGTGCTCTGCGAAGGCAAACCTGAGCTTCATCTAGGAAATAGATTTCATCCATCTATGAGGATGGGAAGGGAAATGCGGGGGCCTAGATGATGGGGAGGCAGGCAGGCAGGACCCCCCAGCACAAGCCAGTCCTAAGTCCTGGGCTCCCTGCCAGGGCCTGTTCCCCGTGGGGACTGTTTAGGTCTCTCACCAAAGCACAGTGCTTTCCCTCAGCAGGTCGCTGCCCCAGCACCCACCCCACCCACAGTGGCAGAGCTGTGTGGCCTTGGCAGATGACTCAAGCTCTCTGTAAAATGGGGCCACCAGCAGTGCCTACCATATGGGGATGCCAGGAGAATCCAATCAATCAGTCTAGGCCGAAGTGCTCAGCCCAGTTCCAGGCACAGAGTGTGTGTTACGTGCGTTAGACAATACTATTATTTAGCTGATTTATTCCGTTTAGAAGACAGACTTTCAAATGAACTAAACCCGTTGCCATCAATTCCGACTCATAGCGACCCTACAGACAGAGTAGAACTGCCCCATAAGGTTTCCAAGGCTGTAAATCTTTACAGAAGCAGACTGCCACATCTTTCTCCCATGGAATGGCTGGTGGGTTTGAACCGCTGACCTTTCAGTTAGCAGCTGAGTGCTTAGTAACCCTTGTGCCACCACCTGGGCCTCTTAGACTTTCAAATAGGATCCTGTCAAAGGGTTTATAATCTGGTTTAAAGGATACAAACCCACGTTGTGAATACACTGTTACAGAACTCCCCTTCTAATCTAATCCTCTTTGCTATTGTTTTAAAAAGGATAATCACTCCTCCAAAGGCCTTTGAGTATCACAGGAGGCTGGGAGAAATATCTGCATTGCAAAGAGCCAGAGCAGCTAACTGAACTACAGGCTAGGAGCCACAGGGGGAAGGGCCCCGGCTCAGGCTAGAAAGCAGCCTGGCCCCCTTGGCACAGGAGCCCACTGCCCAGGCCCTCTCGGGGCAATGCCACACATGCTTTCTCTCTCAGCCAAACCTTCCACACTCCTGGCTCTGCAATCCTCACCTGGGTCCCCAGTTGGGTCCCATGGGCCAGGAGCTTCCCCGTGCTCCTCTCCCCAGGATAGGGGACCCCAGCCCTCGCCTGCCCGCCCGCCCACCCATGTGGACCCAGACACAGGCCCTGCCAGCTGCCACCTGATGCTGCAGTGGGCCTATCTGAGGAGCTGGAGAGGGCAAGGGACAAGCATCATGCAGATTTGAGACCCAGAAGTCACTTCGGTGTCTTTAAAAATCATCCCATGGAATAGATCCATCAATGCAGGTGGTTTCATTTGAGGCCAGAACTGACTGTGGTCCAATGAAGACGGCGTTTTCTCGATGGTAACATCAGAAAACAATCTGGTTCCACTCAGCCTGACCACAAGACATCTGCTTATACTAACTCAGAGGCATTAATATACCTGTATCATAAGTTATAAATGGAAATGTATTGTGCAAATCATAGAATACCCTGCAACGATTTTGGAACATGCAACAACCACTCCTATGGGCGAAACAGTGAATTGAATTGCTATTGTAGGGCTTAACTCATTATTTCACCCTGAGGAAAAATTCAGAAACAATGATTATGAATTATGAGTACAATTTGCTACAGCACTTTCCAATTTAAAACCAATAGTATAATATTTCTTCCTCTTCATTTTCAGGGTTGAGCCTTTTAAATAAGATTTGGGTTAGACAGACTATAAGATATGGTCCTTGGCTATTACTACCAATTAAGAAACAAGTTAACTGAACATTAAGTAGCCTGGCATAAAAGTACTGAACAGTATAGCCTGCTGCCCAATCCACTTGCAGGAACAAATCAGGACGATCCTGCTGCTTCTGATTGCGTCAGTCATTGGTACCAGCCAGTGAAACAGCCGCCATTACTGGGAACGGCCACTGGCATGTTTTCAGACAATGACTCAGCTAGACAGTGCAATGGAAGGGAAGCCTAGTGCAACAACAGTCGTTATGGAAAGAAGAGCATTAGTTTATGAAAAATTATTTTTCATACCAAAACCAAAACCAAACCCATTGCCACTGAGTCGATTCCAACTCTTGTGTTCCATGTGTTAGAGTATAGGGTTTTCTAGGCTGTAATCTTTACCACGTGGCATCAAGATTGGAGGAAGACTCACTAACAATCTGCCATATGCAGATGACACAACCTTGCTTCCTGCAAGTGAAGAGGACTTGACGCACTTACTGATGCCTTCAGTATGGATTACACCTCAACATAAAGAAAACAAAAATCCCCACAACTGGACCAATAAGCAACATCACGATAAATGGAGAAAAGATTGAAGTTGTCAAGGATTTCATTTTCGTTGGATCCACAACCAATGCCCATGAAAGCAGCAGTCAAAAAATCAAATGACGCACTGCACTGGGCAAATCGGCTGCAAAAGACCTCTTTAAAGTGCAAAACAGCACAGATGTCACCTTGAGGACCTACAGGGTTGCTCTACCCAACAGCAACAGGTATAACGGGTATATACTATAAGTCTTGGTGGTGCAATGGTTGGTTAAGTGCTTGGCTGCCAACTGAAAGGTCTATGGTTCAAACCCACCAGTGGCTCTGTGGGAGAAAAGACCTAGCGATCTGCTCTCGTGAAGATTACAGCCTAGGAAACCTTATGGGGCAGCTCCACTGTGTTCTACACGGTCTCTAGGAGTCAGAATCAACTTAATGGCACACAACAGCAACAATACAGCTTTTATATTGTACTGATCAAATTTACTCACTGTTCTAGGCTCTGGGAATGTGGCAATGAAAGCAAGACCAGATCCTGCTCTCAGGAGCTCGTGTCCTGGTGGAGGGATATGACAAAAACGTGGACATTCAGTGGTAAAGACAGTGAACAAAATGAAGCAGGACAATGGGACAGAGTAGCTAGGGCCACTTCAGGTTGGGTGGTCAGGGAAGGCCTCTCTGAGGAGGGAACATTGATACCTGTGAGACACGAAGACAAAGGCAAAGAGAAAGAGCCTCCCAGGTGAAGTCACCAGCAAAGCAAATGCCACAGAACACACGCCATTCTTAATCGACAGAGTAAGTAACTGGCTTGATGCTCCACTCCTCACCTTCCTGATTCCCGGCATCAGAGGACTTGGGTTGGAAATCGAGCCCTACTCCTTATTAACTAGGGGACCTTGGGCAAGACACTGAACTAATTTTTGCCAAAGTTAAGTAGAGATAATGCCCCACCCCTTCCTAGTGTAATTACAGAGAACACCACAGAGAAAACCAGTACTAAAAGGTTCTGTCAACTATGCACCCACACTAATTAAGATACAGCACTGCTATCTGTCAAGTCCCACCGCCGGAAAGCCTGCTGCGTGGGAACCACTTTCCAGCTCTTTCAGCGGAGGACAGTGTTAGGGCAGGGTGGCTCCTGCCCACAAGCAGGTATCACATTCAGCCTCTCCCACGCCAGGGCCCAGATGAGCTGCACGCAGACACTGCAGCAACCGAGCTGGCTGGGGCGCTTGCCGAGCGTCTCAGTTTCTTTCTGAAACTCAGAAACTCAGAGATTACAAACTGTAACAGGCAGCGACTAGTGGGTGACTAACTAAAAGGAGATGATATTAGTAGTTGCCTCAAATTATCATACCACTAGCAATTCCAACAATCAAAAAGCACCACAGCGTGGAAAGGAGCAGTGTGCTGTCACAGTATACGGACAGCAACTGGGGTCACATAACAATGTCTACATAAATTTTTGCATGAGAGACTAACTTGAATTGTAAACTTTCACTTAAAGCACAACAAAAAAAAAAGCACCAGAGCAGCAATTATAAAAGACCCAGTTAGTCTAGAGAACCATTTTACTGCTGCTGAAAGGACGCCTAATATTAGTAAAATTATTCCAAGGCAATCTCTTCTTTAATTATGCTATGACAAATTTAACAAATATGAAAAGCATACTAAGAATTAGGAAATCAAGGGGAAAAGGTGCATATAAAACATTGACTTATCATTTCAAAAACAAAAACCAGGGCAAGGGTATTGAGGATGACCTCCTACGCAATGAAATATTCTTCCTGAAGCTAGTGAGAAGTCAGGGATCAGGCAGAGAGCAGTATTACCGTTTGTATCTCCTCTGGGGATAGTTCCTCTTCACCTCTGCTGTCTCCCCAGGTCCCCAATTCAGGCTGTGTGTCGGGCAAGATCTTTTCTACTAAAAAAAAAGATAGAAAATAGGTGAAAGGCAAAAATAGTCGTTTTAGAAGAGACTGGCTTAGGATGCAGGCATATGAAAAAGATGAGATGAAACAGAACCTTACAGGTCTGTCCATATTTGATTATCTGTTGTTGGCTAATATTCAGGCATTGCAGACATGATTCTTCAACATTGTTCGGATCTTAAATTGTACGTGTACATATGTGTATATAGGTATGTGTATGTTTATGTGTGTGTGTGTATATGCATGTGTGTGCGTGCGTGTCTGTGTGTGATATGGAGGAGCGACCTGTGCACAGTTTCAATATGGTAGTGACTTAGCAATGGCCACAAATGGACACTCTTCAGAACAAGTCCTGAAATATATTTTACTTCAAAAGACACACACTTCTACCCCTCTGTCTACTTTTTAAACACTGTAAAATACCAGGATATTTTCATTGCAAAAAAAAATAACATAAGACAGGAAACAACACGCCTTCCCCCAGTCTTACTCCTCTCCCAGAAATAACCACTAGTATTGGTTTCCTGTAACCTCACAGACCTTTTTCTAACCATATTCATATATACACATATATGTAATTCCCTACCCCCTAAACCCAGAAATAATACATAGTTTTATATGGGTGATGGCTTGTTTTTCACAAAGACATCAATCAAACATATTGTTCTGAAACTTGCTTTTATGACTTGGCAATATACTTTGGAGATCATTCTATGTCAGTCCACATAAATCTAACTCCTCCTTTTACACTGCTGTATACCATTCCGTCATCAGGCCACACTATTCTCTATGCAGCCATAACTCCACTGACAAGCCTTCTGTTACTTCCAACCTCTCATCAGTGTGACGGTCCGTGTGCAGTCTGTGCTCTGTGCGCATGGTGGAGAGCCGCCCTGGGACGGCCCCCCGGACGTGGGCTCGTGAAGGGGAGTGTACGGCCTTAATGCAGGAATTGTGCTCAGGGTAGATGAACGTGCAGCCAAGCCTCCGTCAACACCACAGGCTCTTGGGGAGGGTGCTGCCATGTTAGAGAGGTCTGTGTGGTGCCTAAAGGATGGGCGGTGTGGGTGGGAGCAGTGGGAAACAGGGCAGGAGGGACTGGTCACGGTGGAGACGGTGACAGGGTTTGTTTCAGAAGGCGGTTTGTGCCTGGGCGTCTCAGTGGTGGCTCTGCTCCCCAGTGGGGCTCCAAGGACCCAAAGGCAAACACTGCCCTTTTTTTCTTCCCCTCAATCTCAGTCAGTCTCCCGTGGCTGATCTCAGCCTCCTGAGTTGGGCAAAAATCCAGAGTTTTTGTTTTGAGACCGACAGGGAAAAAGCACATAACGATAGCAAAAATTTAGAGGAAGCAGATCAGACAGCCCCTGTGTAGAAAGTATGGCTATTATTGCAGGACCATGCAATCACAAAAAAAAATCTCCATGTCAACCATGACTCAGTGCAGGTTTGATCAAAATCACTGTTTTTGCCAAAACTGTCACTACAGAAAAGCATGTTTATAGAAGACGGGCTGAAAGCATCTTCAGAAACCGGCCCGGTGTTTTTCTGAGACCACATTCTTTGAGTAGGAACACTCGTCCTTTTCACCCACCCCGCCCTGCCCTGTGAGCCTTCTATCTCCTACTTGTCCTCAGGTGGTCCCCAGTACAAGTTTTACTTTTTTTTTTCTTTAAAGGCTAAGAACACCAGAATCAGGCACACAAAAACCTGACTGACGTGGGAACCAAGCAAAATTGAACTGAGAAGCTAGAAAGGGGAAATTTTGTTAACAGAAATCACATTTGACAACATGCTCAGGTGTGCAGCCCTCTGGAGCCGTCCTGACCTGCTGCCATAACTGGCCGCGAGCCCATGCCAGGCCTCTGCTCAGGCCTCAGCGTACCCCAATGTAACGGAGTCAAGTCCAGGCTCCCTGGCCAGGGTGCAAGGCTCTCTATGGTCTGGCCCTGCCCACCTTGCCAGCCTTCATTCCCACTACTCTTCCGCTTCTCATGTCCTTCACTGACCCCAAAGGCTACATTCCACACCTACCTTGTGCCTTCTGGCCTCTGAGTGTTTGCTCATGCTATGTCCTGTCTGGAACATTCTAAGCTCCCGTTTTCTCGGGTCCAGATGGCTTCTTCAGAGCCACCTCTCCTGAAGCCTCCCTGGCACTCTGACTGAACTGTCTCTCCCACCTCGGGCCTCTCCCGGGGCACTCGCTGCTCACTTTCTCCACGGTGGGAATCTTACCCTCCCTGTCAACTGTGACTCATGGGAGGAGACATGTGAGAAGTGTTCACAAACAACCAGAACCATCTCAATGCGAGGGGGAACCCATGTCAAGAAGCAGATTATGATGGGCATGTGAAGACCTCATCCTGGCTGGACAGGAATATGGAAGAGAAAGGCCTAACCCTCAGATCTGGCCAGAAGGCTGGCTGCGGCCACAGGAGATGCTTGACGCTGCTGACCAAGTGAAAAGGCAGCAAAAGCAGTGCCGTGAAAAACAAAATCCAACCAGGAGTCTGACGGGCACGAACCAGCCCTCCTCTGCCTAGAACTACACCTCGTCCTACACTAACGTATGTTTTGTCTGAGTTCAGCGCCCCACTCCTTGCTATGGAATGTTGGGGTCTTCCCTCGTTCGTGACGAGCGGCAACGAGCGGCGGGCAGGGCCTCAGGATAAAGGCAGCCTCCTTCTGAGGAATGGGTGGGCTCTGGAAACAGAAAGGCCCCCAGGGACTCCCAGGGCTGCTGCACTCACTTGGTGTTTGATTTTGTACAGGTTACATCATCTCTTCAACCTCTGCCTCCTCGTATGTAAAATACAGCAGCAGGCACCTCCCCAGACGCAGTCAGTGTGGAATCTGGGTGCACACCCAGCACGTGCCAGCCCCTCCCGAACGGAAGGCCCTCTGGCAGCTTTTGGGCTGGTCGAGCCATGGCGCAGACGGATTCCCTCACTGGTCCAACTCAGGGACTGACTGATGGAGAGGTGGCGTGTGTAACGTGGACTTCAGAGTCCGGCAGACCCACATATACATCCTGGGTGCACCTTCATCAGCTTCTAACCTTGCACAAGTTACCCAACCTGTCCAAGACGCCTCATCTTTAAAAGAGGCTCGTGAACCCATTCCCCAAGGGCTGTGGGAGGGTCGCTGGTAACGACCGTGGATTACCCAGGACAATGCACAGCGCCCAGGAGACACTGGGTCAACGGGAGCCGGTGATGACACAGAAGGTGATGGTGGAGATGACTCTCGGGTCTCCCCTGGCTTTGGCATGCCGTCCTCTGTGATTCCCGCAGAGCAGAGCTCCACCCCTGCGGCCCTGTGAGATTCAGCACAGTCAACAGGCGTGCCTCAGACAGCACGGCCACACCATCTGGGAACACGGACTGAAGGTCCCCATGACTAGGTGATGCAGTCACCTATACTTCCAGACTGTGGACACCTGTACGTTCCTGATCCAGCTCCCACCCCGTGTCAGGAACGGCTGGCTCCAGGTCCTGGGCATCTAGTATCTGTGATGCCAGAAGCACGTACTCCCAGACTAGATTCTGTCCTGTGAGCTCCAGTAGCTGCAGAGTCTGCTGGAATCCCCTGGTGTGCCTCAAGGCAGGGAAAAGGCTGAGGTGCCTCCGTTAGCCGGCTATGCGCTACGCCGAGCAAGGCGAAGGCGGGCTCCGCACCCTTCTCGACAGTGGCCTGCGAGACTCCCGGGGCAGAGGGCTCTGGGATTTCTTCCTGGTTCTGAGTGTCCAGTCCCCGCCTCGGACGCACAGCTACACCAGGCCCTTTCTCCTGCTGTGATTAGGTGCTGTCGAGTCGGCTCCGACTCATGGCAGCCCCATGTACAACAGAACGAAATGCTGCCTGGTCTCGTGCCATCTTCATGATGCACCGCTACACCAGGCCCTTTCTCCTGGACCCCACCACTTCCCCAGGGACCAGGAGATCAAGAAGATCTGACTGCACTAGAAAGAAAGGCTGCCCCTTCCCGTACTTCCTGTGCTCTAGGCAAATACAAACACCACGAGACATCTGGGTCCACGCTCCCCTTCTTCTTCTGCTTTTACGTTTTTGCCAACATGTCATAAGGACGAAACACAAGGCAAGGGTTTTATTTTGATTCATACCTGGATATTCTTCAGTGACAGGTTTTTCTTCAGACTCTTTTGAAGGATTCTGGGAAACTGTCTCAGAAGATATGGACTCTCGTGTCTTTGTATTTGGTTCTGGTTCCAGCTTAGATCTAAAAAGAAATGATTAGCAATCATGGAATTTACTTTCATAACAGGATTCCCATTCGACAACAGAGAGCTGCATGTGACTCCTGCTCTCCTGTCCTGGGGTCCCTCAGTCGGGGGGCAAAGCATCTGCCTCTGGGCCTGGCAGCCTTGGCCTGGACACACCTCTACACCAGCGCTGCCGCCTCCAGGGTCAGGGCCATGCCTCCTCCTCTGCACTCCCAGCATGGTGACCTGCATGCCGGGGGACGTGCCGTCAGTGCGTGCTGAAGGAAAGACTGTGCCAGCACGTCCCCATGGACTGACACCACCCTTAACAAGTGGGCAGTGAGGGCTGATTGTTCCAAGTTCCACATCTGGGAAGCTTGTGGTTTTTACACAAATGCAAAAGTATTGCCTATTATATACTGCATTGTATACAGCATATCTATAATTTAATATACACAATCTACATGTAATATCCAAAATAATTTAACTACAAGAGCACAAGTCTCTAAAGTGTTAGCTCAATGAAGTCAACGTGTTTCAGAAGTGTTCTCACCTCTACCCCGCAAGGCTGTCCAGGGCTGTATCACTGTCCACCTCAGGCCTAGGCTCAACCTCACCCACTCACAGAGGCCTCCTCTGACATCCTGTCCCCAACAGGCCCCCTCCCAGTCCTCTGTACCACAGAACCCTGTTTGTTGTCTTCACGGCGGTTACCATGGTCAGTGATTATCCTGTTTATTTGTATGTGTACTGTCTGCCTCACTTCACTGGAGAGTATGTTCTGTGAGAGCGGGGGCCTTGTCTTTGGAAGTCGTGTTTGCTGCTTAGCCCCAGATCCCAGACCAGGCCCTGGCACAGAATGTCTAATAATATAGGCTGAGTGAAGGAAGACTTTGTAAATATCAGTAAGCAGCTAATAAGAGACAGAACATTTTGGCTATGAAACAATGGGCCTTGTAATAGCTTTACTAGAATCTATAAAACACGATGAAAATTACAGGCAGATCTCAGATCTAAAAGATCTAAGAAAAATTGTATATCACTAGGCAGAGACTATAATAAAAATAACAATGTAAATACATAGAAGGATAATGCTATTAATGGCAGCTAGCATTTATTGAGGGATGCTCACACGATCTCCCATTTGGCCAGTGGGAGCCCCTTCAGACTGGCCCCTGCAACCTTTTGACAGTCCCCATCATTCTCTGAGCCCTTCCTTGCTTTCTGGTACAACAAAATGTTCCAGACTCCTTTTACACATTTCTGCTCCAGCCCCGGAATCAGCCATTTCTCCAAGAAGGCCTGGTTCCTTTAAGCCAAAATTGGATACTAAGTATGCTGACTGCTACTAGGATGTCACTACCTCCAGGTCCACCACCTCAGCAGACTGAGCTAGAAAATACCCGTATGCACTTACATACGTATACATACACGCATTTACAACCATATTTGTTTCTATGTCTATCTATATAAACTGAAAACCATGAGTCCACATCAGTATCTTTCATTCTCATCTAATACCACAAGGTTCACTTCTGGTTTTCTCCCTTTCACTTCTCTGATAGGGAGAATCAGGTTTCCATTATCCTTACATATTTACTTATTTGATCAATCCCCCATATATAACTAACCTCTATTTCAATAATCAGAGTCACTCATGGTGGACAGATTTCAGCAGAGCTTCCAGACTAAGGCAGAGTAGGAAGAAAGGCCTGGCAATCTACTTACAAAAATTAGCCAATGTATACCCTATGGATTACATCATCATCCTAATCACTTGTGTCAGGGACTGAACCGTGTCCCCCAAAAATATCTGTCAACTTGGCTGGGTCATGATTCCCACTATTGTATGATTGTGTATCATTTTGTAATCTAATGTGATTTCCTTATGTGTTGTAAACTCTATATCACTATGATGAGGTTATATTGATGAGGTCTACAAGACTGGATAGTGTCTTAAGCTAATCTCTTTTGAGATATAAAAGAGAGAAGCGAGCAGAGACACATGGGAACCTTATACCACCAAGAAAGCAGCACTGGGAGAAGAGTGAGTCCTTTGGACCTGAGGTTCCTGCACTGAGATGCTCCCAGACCAAGCAAGGACTGATGACACGGACCTTCCTCCAGAGTCGACAGAGAGAGAAAGCCTTCCCCTGGAGATGATACCCTGAATTTGGACTTGTAGCCTACTGGACTGTGAAAGAATAAATTTCTCCTTGTTAAAGCCATCCACTTAGAATATTTCTGTTATAGCAGCCCTAGATGACTAAGGCAGCTTGCTTTGGACACATCATCAGGAAGGATCAATTGCTGGAGGAGCATATCAAGCCTGGTCAAGCAGAGGGCCAGTGAGGGCTAGGGAGGTCCTTGGTGAAGCAGACTGACACAGTGGCCACCATGATGGACTCAAACATAATAATGATCATGAGGATGACGCAGGAGTGGACAGCATTTCGTTCTGTTGTACGTGGGGTTGCCACAAGTCCGAGTCGACTTGATGGCAGCTAACCACTTGATGCCAGCCCCCACTCCCCAATCCCTGCGTGGACATGCCCCTTTTTGCTTAGGCTCAGCTCCCCATGCTGAGCTGCCCCCGCACCCCCACCTTGCTGGGCCTCTTGACACCCTGCTCCAGGACACTGAGCTCTCCACCATTGTAGACTCCCACGTCCTCTGGCCCACCTCACGGCTGAATTGTTAGGAAGGGGAACGGCTTAATTGACTTAAATACAGAGCTGCTTTAGCGTCTGTGTCTGTGATCCTTTGTGCCCAGAGTATGCTAATGTACCAGTTTCAGTGTAAAATGAATCAAAGACTGCAATGCAGCAGACTCAGACAAAGCTGAGTACTTTTTTTTTTTTTTTAAGTGATAAAAACAGATTCTAATTATCACATACAATGTCTACTGAAATCCTCAGGGAAATTACAAATTAACCAGTTGAAGGCAGTTTGAAATAAGCAGTTTTTAAGAAGCCATTAGAAAGATGTTTACGGCCCACGATTTATTTAGATTGATTCCTCTTCCTGAAGGCTAACATTAAACAGCTGGCCAACATCTGCTTTCCAGGCCCCTTACTTGAAAAACCTTGGGGTTCTATTTAAAAGTTAAAAAGAAGAGCAGAAGGAGAAAGAAAAGAGGGAGAGAAACAGATGCTTCAATTTTGAAACAAGAAAATAAGGGAAGAGTGCTTTGCAAGCTTTAAATAAAGCCCTATACAAATATTAGCAGAGAAGCGATTATTCCAGATTCCAGTATAGCTCTTAAACTTCTATTATGCCGTCAACAAGGGCTCCATGTAGAAAGAAGACACGTCAGTATGTAATCTTATCCTACGATAATTCCCAAGGGGGCTTTCAGGCTACAGCATCCATCTTCGGCACAGGTACCGTAGGCTCCAACAGAGCCGGAAATGCTTCGTACTCCCTTGGTTAAGCCGTCTTCACCATCATTCATTCATTCGCCAGATAGGCACTCGACATCTAGTACGTGCTACATGCAGAGGTAGGCTAGCACTGCTCGAAGTGTGGTCCACAAACCAGTTGTTGTTGTTAGTTGTCATCGATGCAATTCCTATTCACGGGGACCCCATGCATGCAGAGCAGGACTGCTCCACAGGGTTTTCAATGGCTGTGACCTTTCAGAAGCAGATTGCCAGGCCTGTCTTCCAAGGAGTCTCTGGGTAGGTTCGAACTGCCAACCTTTTGGCTAGCAGCTGAGCGTTTAACAGTTTGTGCCTCTGAAGGACTCCCCATGGGCCTGGTACCAGACCATGAGCCGGTTGCTACTGGTCTGCTACAAGGTAAGTACAAAAATTAAGTCTGTGGGAACTTTCACAGCACTGTGACACTGCCACCTCCTCAGTGGACTCATCTCACTGAACGGGGTAGATCAGTTCCAGTGTTACGGAACTGCTACGGCTTTAAGTCACACGTGGCACAAGCTGGGAATGAGCCACGTGCCGCAGAACGCACACCAGTCCACAACAGGCTGCAAAGAAGAGCACCCTGGTGCTTCCCCTTGGAAAGTCCGTTCTGAGCCGGGGTCAGCCCACTTCTTCTGTAAAGGGCCAGATAGCTTGGTAGTATTTTAGGTTTTGCAGACCACACACAGTCTCTGTTGCATATTCTTCTTTGTCGTCTTTTGTTTTATAAACCTTTAAAAATACAGAAACCACGCTAACTCAAGGGTTGTACAAAAACAGGCCAAGGGCAGGATGTGGCCCACAGGCCAGAGCTGGCTGATCCTTCTTTGAGGTGCTGAAGAAGACCCTAGCTCTACGGGGTGAATGAAGTCAAATCACTGCTCTATACCTAGTGTCATATCACGGTACTTCTTTTTGTTTTCTTCATATTTATCATCATCATCATCATCATCCCCAATCACAAAATTTACAGCATTTTTGGGTGGGATACTAGGCTCAGTCCCTGCCCTCACCAAGCTTGAAATCTGGTTGAGGGGAGAGGATTGAATTATGAATAATAATGTAAGGAGTCCATTCTCCAAGCACCAGATACGTCAAGTGACAGCAAGTGTTACCAGAGTACAAGATAGAGCAGAACGTGCCAACAGTCGGATAATTAACTTGGAGCTACCCGGATAAACCCAGAAGGGGCTGCAAAGTTGTCCAGCCTTCCACGCTGGTCATTTCACAACCTACTCACTGTTAGAATAAACCATGATCTTTCAGATGAACCGACCTTATCCTTCTCGAAACTTCGAGACAACGAAAATAGCCAAAAGTTCCTATTTCTCAGAATGTCACTATACTACTGAATATGATGTGCTCAAATGATGAGCCAAAACCCAAGAAACTTCAAAGCAAGATCAGCCACGGGTGGATACTGGATACAGCACTCACCACTGGATAAGAAATTGCTGTTTATAGAGGAAGACCTAGTATTTGAAGTTTGGGTTTGCTACTGGGCTTCTGTATAGCTTATGCCTTCAGGAAGAAAAAAAAAAAAAAAATCCTCTGAATGAGCAGAAAAGAATACCAGAGGTAATCCTGATTCCAAC